TGTCGGTCGACTTTCCCTTCGAGAGCAGTGTCCTTAGCAACAGGCTCCCATGCATTGAAGGTAAAGTTGAAGTACTGGAGAGTAGTGGGGTCGAGCTCGTCGAGAAAATTTGAGGAGTTGAGGAAAGCTTGAACAACCTCCTTGCGGTAAGTCTCGAGGAAGATAGACCCCATAGGCGACTTGAGAAATGTCCTACGCCCTTCTTCGAGTCCGGCCTCCCTCTCGACCAACCCATTCTTGTGAGCTTTCTCAAGCTCCACTTTCAGTTCCTCGACTTGCTTTAAGGAATCTTCCTTTCAACTAAAGAACCAACACTTTCAAGGCCTCCAGATCCTCCTTATGCTCATCAAACTTTTTACGTTGGGCATCATACCTTCTCTTCCAGTATTTAACGTTGTTCTTGGGAGAAGAGGTGCCCTTGAGCAAGTTGGGGAGCATGGAGGCAATAAGCTGAGTAACGAGATAAAGAATATAGAAAATAATGATTCACGAAGATAATTGGGAAAGAAAAGATGAAAGAAAACATAAATACCCGAGAGAGGGTGAGGACAGCATAGCAAGAGACATCATAGGGATAGCCTGAGACACGGTCTTTGTCGTCCTCGGGAAGAATGGAGTCGAGATACTTAGTGGCAGAATAAGCATTAGGATTGTTGTGAAGACGAGGGGGCCTTTGCAGAGTAATAGCTTCGGTGGTGACGGGGGGCGAGGGAGACTTCTCGATAACTTTCTCTTTGCCTTTATCCTGCGTTTTCTGGTGTTTAAGATCGTCAAGAACGAGAACCACATCTCTCTCATCCAGTGCTCGCTTGCGAGAATGAGATCCTGACAAATTGAGGGGGGAACAGTGAGCCTCTCGACCCTGGCCTTTTGAGCAGCGGTTGTCTCGACTGCTGCTCCCAAAGCGCTTGAACCATAGCCACCTCGGGGCTCTTTGGAAGGGCGCGCCGACTAACGGACTTGTCATCGCCCTTGACTTACTTCGTCTCAATGCGAGTCAAAGCTTTGACTAAAAGGTACACAGAAATTATCAACACAAAGGAAATCAAGTTTGTAGTCGAGATATGCGATTCATGTGCAAAAAAAAAAAAAATAATGATGATAATAACATAAACACCCGGTAAACAATCAAGGAATTAATAAGCATGGACGACTTACAAGGGTCGTCTAGTCGAGGGACACTATCATGAATCGAAAGACCCACATGGTTAAGAAGTGCCTTATCCTTAACCAACAAGCGGACACTCCAAGTGCATTTATTCAAGTCATCGAGCATAAACTAGAACTGGCTTGACCAAAGGCGCTTATTTTGTTTAACCTTCTCGGTTATCCAGACGTTTGTGAAGGGATAGCGACAGGGAGCAGGACATATATAGAAGTATTTCGTTTTCCATTTGGTGACGCTTGACGAAAGATCCTCGAGGAAAGTAACGCCACGGCGACGACCCAGACAATGGGCGTCCTTTATGAAGCGGTAACTATAGCAGTAGAACAGAAACTCGGGCGAGAAATGGCCAAATTTTATTTTCGAGATGATAATGATTGCTACCATGATACGAATGGAATTGGGTGAAAACTTATTTATGGGAATACAAATTGCTAATAGCCAACAGTTCAGGTTGAATTGGAAAACGCAAACCGAATAGTATTTGGTCGATAAAAAATGTATAACACCCCTCAAGGGGACGAGAAAAGACATCATTAGAAGATGGAGCAACCAACTCCCAATCGGTGGGAAGGCCACTGAACGACCTAAACCCCTGCATTTGGGCTGCAGAGGCATAAAGAAATGGACTTAGAACAGCTAATTTTACTAGTGGCAGGCTATGGTTACATCATGAGGCTCGAAAGGAAGAGCTGTTATTGATAGAGATACAGGAGTTGTTTTGTACACAGGAATATCTAGAAGCCTAAGGGGGATATCTTGAGGTATGAGATTAAGACGGAGAGAGTCGCTTCCACGTCGGGGATCTTCCTTATTTTGCATCAAATCGCCTGATAGGAGAGCCTGGTGATACAGATCTTGGTCAATCGCAAAATTCGACACCGAAGAACTCGACGATATCTCTTGTTCGACTGTTGGCTTAGAGTCGATTATCTGGACAGAGTCAGAATCCGAATACTCTTCAATTTGACGAGCAAGAGAACCGGAGATAGAACTAAAGATAGAATTGGATTCAGAATCTATTGAAAAAAAAAAAAGAAAAGAAAAGTGATGATCAGTGCAACGAAAAACAAGCTAGGCATTAAAGGATTAAGAAATGAAGAAGCGTCGACATAAGGGTATGCACAATTGAAAATCGACCGTAGAAAGAATAAACAGATTGTCTCCAACTCGATTCGGATGGACGAAAAAGAACACTGAATGACATGGTCACAAGGTTAAGACGACTTTCCAGGATAGGACTACTAAGTCGGCAAAAGCCAGCTCAAGGGAATGACAAATCAAATGAGTCTACCTACAAAAATATTAAATCGACCTTGTGTCTTAGGTCTATATGCGAAGCGAACACATAAAGAGCGCTCAGCCTAAGCGTTGAATATCTAACATCAACTCCTAAAAATCATTTGAAAAATATAAAGAACATGAAGAACGTTCCTGGACTCCAAACCGAAAGCCCAGAAAACCAACAAAAATTTGTAGAAGTATGGAATGGAGGAGACTTACACATGTTGACTGAGGTAAGGACTTTGGAGAATGCCGGAAAGGTGGGCGGATGATACTTGCGTCGGAGAATTCAAAAAACCTGGCTGCTGGAAATCCGAAAAGCTTGAGAGAAGAGAGAATTGAGAAAGGGAGAGAGAAAAAAGAATGAAAGATACTTATAGGAGAGAAGGGAAACCCTACCCCTTAGATAAAAGTGAAATCCAACAGCTAAGATTGCGCACGAAATTCAAAGCGGCAAAAGGAGATCGGAGGCGGTGTGCCACATTTTAATTCAGAAATTTTGAGATTCAAAATGATAGTGGGTGGTGGATATGTTCGAGAAAATTCCTAAGTATCGGATCAAACCATAGGCATCTCGGTCGAACAAAGTTAGTCATCGGCATGACAAGGAAAAGACGAGGATGAGACAAACTATCAACATAGAACATGGGCAATGGAGGAAGTTACAGACACCATCGACACCAGACAAACAACATAGCATCACAAGATAGTCGGTCGATGGAATTCGAGGAGAGTTTAAGTACCGAATTTACTCTTAAGCTCGAAGTCGCTTAGGGTAGTTTTTGGGGGGGACCAGATGATATAGCCCTATTACCATCGTCCGGTTCAGATGTTGACTATTCGACCGAATGACTATTCGAGACGATATTGGCGAGATCGACTTCTCTGAAGTCGATCTCGTTCATGAATTATAAAAGTATTGCCTCCAACACGATAGCGGCTCCAAGACGATTCACCTAAGTCGACTTCTATAGTCAACTTCTCTTGAAAAGGCGAGCAAGCAAAGCGCAGTCTCCAAATGCTTATAAGTAACCTAAGTTGACTCGACGATACTCGAAGTCGGCTGGTCCTGCCTAGAGGCTTCAAGAGCTCCGACGACTTCTATATACTTCGACACAGCATAAGGAAAGCCTCCGAATAAGAGAATCCATATGATATAAGAAGGAATTTGGATGCTGACTAAGAAGTGGACGGAAGGCGAATCGACCAGGGCATTTCAGACATTTCTTGTAAGTCGGTCAGGCATTTTGGGGACTTCAAGTAAGTGTTTTATTCCTATATAAAGAGAGGGAGGTAACCCCAAACCCTAACTTTCATTCTCTCCATTCATTATTCTCAGTTGCTGCTCCCACTGAGCAGAGCTCACTTCATCACCCTCATACTGACTTGAGCGTCGGAGGCTCTTCACCGGAAGCACCTCCGGTGTTGAGTTCTTGCAGGTGTTCGTAGTTGCCGAAGGACAATTTGGAAGCGGTTCGAACAAATCGGAGCTCTCTACCACCGGTTCACTCCAGATCTAGGAGAAAACCCATCAAATTGATTTGGAAGCAGTTCGAACAGATCAAAGCTCTCTACCACCGGTTCACTCTAGATCTAGGAGAAGACCCATCAATCCTATAGCTACAAAAACAACCAACTTTATCACGAAGATCACTACAAGAATGTGATGAAATTCCAATAGAAAATTTTAACGAAAATTTATTTCAATGGATCAGTCCAACAGAAATTCAAATGGATATTACATGCTATATTTTTCCGTTAAAATTTCCAGTAGATCTCAATGAAAATTCAGAAAAAAAATATTCCCTTGGAATGAGTTTTCACTTTTGCTCTCTGGTGATCTATTCCTCTTTTCCATACCACTCCATTTCTGTTGGATTTTGACGATTCCAATGCTACATTTTCCAATGGTTGAAATATGAGTGAAAATAAAAATCCCAACGAAAATCGTATATTCCAGCGAAAATTCTTACGGTAAAAAACAGTTGGAATAATGGTCGTTAATAATAAAAATCCATCTAAATTCCAATAAAAAATTCATATTCCAACGGAATGATTCCATTGAAATGTTCGGTGGAATCAATCCAACGGAAGTTATACCACTGAAATATTCGTTTGAATTTTCGTCGAAATATATCACTATAGGATATTCTATTGCAAATATGACATTTTATTTTTTGTAGTTGTTGATGCACTAATAACACAATAATATTGATACATTCTCCTCTATGTTACATTAATATACACAAGTTGGTAGGCAAGTTTCACTGTTGATTGTTCAACATAAAAAAAAAAAAAAAAAAAAAAAAAAAAAAGATAATTTTACCAAACACTTTTTTACAAACTGCTAACACGATCAGCTGGTCAAAACAGTTAATGCAATCTGCTGGTCATAACAGCTAACACAATCAGCTAACAGCTAACAGCTAATAGCTGATTACCAAACAAGGCCTTTGCAATTAATCGTGCAGCTAATCAAAGAGAGAGAAGAAGCTTAAGCTTTGATTGAGCCACATTAATTATTTACATCATATATATTTACTTTTAATTATCACAGCCACAGGGCTCCAGAATCCTTAAGCATCCTCCGGAGGGACCCATCGAGATGAAAAGTCAACACCTCTTGGGCCAAGCCCACGAATTTTCCGCCGATAAAAACGGCGGGAATGGGAGGGCTTCGCGACAGGCTGTTAGTTTTTGATTAATTGTTGTCCCACATCGGATGTATACCAAAGATGTGTAGGATCTTATTAGTATAAATAGGTCCCTTGCCTTTGGGTTACAATTGCACCTTATTCTATTCTCTCCTATTTAGAAGGAAATCCTTAATTAAGGAAATCCTATTTTGTGGGTTATTTAACCCTAGTTGTATTTTGTTGGTGAGTTTAGTAAATTTGGCGTTGCGGTTGGCGGTGCCCGGAGACGTAGGCTATTTTCGCCGAACTCCGTTATCAATTTTTGTGTTCTTTTTATTTCTCGTCTTTTATTTGTGTTGGCTTATTTTGGAGTAGTACTTGCCATATTTGTTGGAGGGGTATTTTTGTCCGCTGTGCTTGTTGTGATACCCCAACACAGGCCCATGACGAGAGCCCGTTCTATCTCCTTTCCGTCGACCTGCTCGTCTAGCTCGTACACTACCGGGCTGGACCCGTGCTCGTGAAACAGCTTCGTGATTGCATGGCACATGCAGCACGTGCTCTTGCTGAATATCACTATGGGGCTTTGGGAAGCCAATTTTACAACACGCTCCATTTTATATTGGGTTGTGTGTGTGTGTGTATGTGTGTGTGTGTGTGTGTGTGTGTGTGTGTGTGTGTGTGTGTGTGTGTGTGTGTGTGTGTGTGTTGACTTAAATCGTCAAAAGGAGGGAAAATTGTATATTGAGTTGCTTTTTTCTGATGAGGATTTGAGGCAAATGGTTGACTTGATTTTGTGACCATTCTGATTTGGTGATATTTATAATGGATAGGGTGGGGGGTTAATTGCAAAATCTAGCCCTTGAGGTTTTGTCTATTCACCAAAAGTACACAGATGTTCTTTTCAAATTTACAAAATAAGGATTTGTATTGATATTTGAGATTCCCAATTCAATAGCTTTCTCCTAACCTTTAGTAATTGAACCGTATGTCCCGCCATATTATTGTTAGATTTACTTTGAATGATTGTAATATGTTATAAGGTGATGATAATATATCTATTTACACATCATTATAAAAGCAATTATTTTGGTATGCCGAATTGACCCTATTCAGAAAAGGTACATCAGATCAATTTAGCATTTATACATTAATTAAACATAATACACTAATTACACGAAAAAATCAAAAAATAAATGTACAATTTAATCATGATGGACGGGATAAAAAGTTAGCATATTAAGTTTGAAATTTGCCAATTTTTTTTTTTTTTTT